TCAGGTTAGGGTGTGTAGAAGAGAGGGAGAATACTTCCCGGTAAAAGTAGGTCTTAGACAGGGATGTGTAATGATGGGGTTGTAAAAGAAGTAAATGCTAGGGTGTTCGGGAGAGGGGTGGGATTAAATTACGGGGAATCAAATTCAAAATGGGAATTGACACAGTTACTTTTTGCTGATGATACTGTGCTTATGGGAGATTCTAAAGAAAAATTGCAAAGGTTAGTGGATGAGTTTGAGAATGTGTGTAAAGGTAGAAAGTTGAAAGTGAACATAGAAAAGAGTAAGGTGATGAGGGTATCAAATGATTTAGATAAAGAAAAATTGGATATCAAATTGGGGAGGAGGAGTATGGAAGAAGTGAATGTTTTCAGATACTTGGGAGTTGACGTGTCGGCAGATGGATTTATGAAGGATGAGGCTAATCATAGAATTGATGAGGGAAAAAAGGTGAGTGGTGCGTTGAGATATATGTGGAGTCAAAAAACGTTATCTATGGAGGCAAAGAAGGGAATGTATGAAAGTACAGTAGTACCAATACTCTTATATGGATGTGAAGCTTGGGTGGTAAATGCAGCAGCGAGGAGACGGTTGGAGGCAGTGGAGATGTCCTGTCTAAGGGCAATGTGTGGTGTAAATATTATGCAGAAAATTCAGAGTGTGGAAATTAGGAGAAGGTGTGGAGTTAATAAAAGCATTAGTCAGAGGGCAGAAGAGGGGTTGTTGAGGTGGTTTGGTCATTTAGAGAGAATGGATCAAAGTAGAATGACATGGAAAGCATATAAATCTATAGGGGAAGGAAGGAGGGGTAGGGGTCGTCCTTGAAGGGGTTGGAAAGAGGGGGTAAAGGAGGTTTTGTGGGCGAGGGGCTTGGACTTCCAGCAAGCGTGCATGAGCGTGTTAGATAGGAGTGAATGGAGACGAATGATACTTGGGACCTGACGATCTGTTGGAGTGTGAGCAGGGTAATATTTAGTGAAGGGATTCAGGGAAACCGGTTATTTTCATATAGTCGGACTTGAGTCCTGGAAATGGGAAGTACAATGCCTGCACTTTAAAGGAGGGGTTTGGGATATTGGCAGTTTGGGGGGATATGTTGTGTATCTTTATTCGTACATGCTTCTGAACTGTTGTATTCTGAGCGCCTCTGCAAAAACAGTGATAATGTGTGAGTGTGGTGAAAGTGTTGAATGATGAAAGTATTTTCTTTTTGGGGATTTTCTTTCTTTTTTGGGTCACCCTGCCTTGGTGGGAGATGGCCGACTTGTTGAAAAAAAAAAAAAAATATATGATGGTGAAAGTTTTTCTTTTTTGGGCCACCCTGCCTTGGTGGGAATCGGCCAGTGTGATAATAAAAAAAAAATATATATAATGTCGTGCCGAATATGTAAAACTGGTCAGTTAGCAAGAACTCACTTAAAATTAAGTCCTTTCTGAAAATTCCTCTTATACGTTTAAAGATATATTTTTTTCATTAATGCTGATGTAAAAGCTTTTTATTTTGCACCAAAAGAATCTTAGAAAACTTACCTAACCTTATTACAACAAGTGCAATTTATTTAAGCCTAACCCAACTAAATATATTTTAGATTTATTTACAGTAATTTAAAAACTAAACAAACACAGTGAAATATATTTTTTTCGTTAGGTTCGGAATGATTTTGGCGAAATTATTGCATACGCAAATTTTCACTTGTCCTATATGGCAAGATGAGCGTTGCTATTTAAGCCAAGATGGCAAGTTCTGCCTATTCAGCACGACATATATATATACAGTGGACCCTCGAGTTTCGGCAGCATCGACTTTCGTGAAATTCGACCTTCAGCGAGTTTTTTTGGCAAAATTTGGCCTCTAGTTTCACGATTAGACTCGTGTTTTGGCGACCGTCCGGTACCCGTCCGCCCATCACCACGCACACCAAGCCAGTCTCTCACGCCATTCAAGCTCAGTGTGCCATTGTTTACCAACACATGACCATCACCCCACGGGTTCATACAATACATTTCATAATAATCCATTGTTTTTTGTGCTTGCAACTGCTAAATAAGCCATCATGGACCCAAGGAAAGCTAGTGCAAGCTCTTTGGTAAATAAAGTGAGGAACACGATCCAGAGGGATTTTGAAGGGTTTGAGGCAGACCCTGTCCCTGCCGACCCTCTGCCTGTTGTGGAAGGTGTTGTGGCATTGGGCAAGTCCATGGGTTTGGAGGTGAGTGACGGGAATGTGGAAAAGTTGGTGGAGGACTACAGGGAAGAGCTAACCACTGACGAACTGCAAGAGCTTCAACTGGAATAGCATCAGACCACAGCCGAGGAACTTGCTTCAGAGGAGGAGGAAAAGAGAGTGAAGGAGATTCCTTCTTCAGTGATTAAGGACATGTGTGGAATGTGGAATGAGTTGCAAAGTTTTGTTGAAAAGTATCACCCTGACCAAGCTGAAACAAGCCATATCTGCAACATGTACAATGACAGTGTTGTGTCCCACTTCAGGGAAATCTTAAAGAAACGCCAGAAAAAGACCTCTCTGGACAGATATTTTGTGCGACAGGGGTCCAGTGACTCTCAAGTTGTTCCCAGTGGCATTAAAAGAAGAAGGGAAGTAACCCCAGATAAGGACTTGCTACCTAAAGTCCTAATGGAAGGAGATTCTCCTTCCAAACAATAGTGTACACCTTCCTCCTATCCCCTCCTCCCGTCTTCCATCCACCCAGAAGTCTTCAGTAAAGGTAAGTGTAATGTTATTATTTTTTATATGCATGTACAGTGGACCCCCGCATAACGATTACCTCCAAATGCGACCAATTATGTTAGTGTATTTATGTAAGTGCGTTTGTACGTGTATGTTTGGGGGTCTGAAATGGACTAATCTACTTCACAATATTCCTTATGGGAATAAATTCGGTCAGTACTGGCACCTGAACATACTTATGGAGTGAAAAAATATCGTTAACCGGGGGTCCACTGTACTTGATTTCTCATTGATTTCAGTATATAAATTTTTATTTAATTTGAAAAAAAAAATATTTTATTTTAATATTTTTGGGTATCTGGAACGGATTAATTTTATTTCCTCTTATGGGGAAAATGGTTTCGAGTTTCGTGAATTTTGACTTTCGGCAGGCTCTCTGGAACGGATTAATCACGAAATTCGGGGGTCCACTGTATATATATAATAGGTAGTAGGTTGGCAGACAGCAACTGCCCAGGGAGGTACTACCGTCCTGCCAAGTGAGTGTAAAATGAAAGCCTGTAATTGCTTTGCATGATGGTAGGATTGCTGGTATCCTTTTATCTGTCTCATGAACATGGAAGATTTCAGGTATGTCTTGCTACTTCTACTTACACTTAGGTCACACTACACATACATGTACAAGCACATATATGTACACCCCTTTGGGTTTTCTTCTATTTTCTTTCTAGTTCTTATTCTTGTTTATTTCCTCTTATCTCCATGGGGAAGTGGAACAGAATTCTTCCTTCGTAAGCCATGCATGTTGTAAGAGTCGACTGGAATGCTGGGAGCAAGGGGCTAGTAACCTCTTCTCCTGTATATATTACTAAATGTAAAAGGAGAAACTTTCGTTTTTCCTTTTGGGCCACCCCGCCTCGGTGGGATATGGCCGGTGTGTTGAAAGAAAGAAGAATATATACCATACATGTAACAAGTTGAAGTTTAATAAAGAGAGTAAGGTAATGAGAATATGTACTGGAAAGGAAAGAGGAAAAGTTAATAAGAGGCTCTTTGAAGGATGAGATAAATCACAGAATAAAACAGGGGAAAAATGTGTTAGAATTTGTAGTAGGGATGGGACAATACCAAGTTTTTGCCAATACCAATAATGATACTCAATTTTAGGCCTACACTGATATCAAAATCAGCAGACACCAATACTGACACTGGTACCAATACCAATACCATCAAAACTGGCCAATACCCACCAATACTGATACTCAGTTTTAGGCCTTACACAGTACAGTGGAACCCTGGATACCAGCTGATGCGGATATCAGCCAAATCAGACTTCGGTCGCTTTTTTGGCAAAAATTCTGTCCTGGATTTCAGCCAGCAACTCAGAAATTGACAGTATTGGATGCGTCCACCCACTACTCTGCCGCATTCGTGAGTCAGTCTGGCTGTGTCTCTGGGTGAGTGAGCAACATTCTGCACATTCATCCAAACATTTTGTTATAGTCCATTGTTTTTTTGTGGTTGATTATTGAGTGCGACTGCGAAATAAGCCACCATGGGCCCAAAGAAAGTTCCTAGTACCAGCCCATTGGTAAAGAAAGTGAGAAACACGATAGAATTCAGTGAAAAAACCTTGTCCCACTTCAGGTAAACCTTAGAGATGCCAGAAACAGACCCCTCTGGACAGTTTTTTTGTGCGACAGGGGTGCAGTGACTCTCAAGCTGGTCCTAGTGCCAGTAAAAAAACAAAGAAGGGGAGTAACCCCAGAGAGGGCTTTGATACCTGAAGTCCCTATGGAGGGGGATTCCCCTTCCAAACAGTAACCCCAACTCCCTCTCCCCTCCTCACCTTCTTCAATAAGCCAACAAGAGTCTTCAATAAAGGTATGTTCATTTATCATTAAAATTTGTGCTTCATATTTATTTCTCATTGTTTTCTGTATGTAAAACTATAGTTAATCTTTAAAAAAATGTATTTTTTGTTAATATTTTTGGGTGTCTGGAATGGATTAATTGTATTTACATTAATTCTTATGAAAAATATTATTTTTGATTCAGCCTTTTCGGATTTAGGCCGACCATCTGGAATGGATTATGGCCAAAATCCGGGGTTCCACTGTATATAGAAAATGAAATAGTAGTGCCAGAGCTCAGTTAAACATTTTTGTTTTTCACGGCAAAATGGCACTTGCTGAGAACCAACTGGGTGGCAAATTATGCAGTAAAAGAATTAAGCTACATAAGGAAGAATATATTCATGAAGAAAATAAATGTTTAAAAAATTACAAATACTATGAAGTTTTGACTTACCTGTGTGTCTTTCGATATCACAGGTAATGATATGTATTTGACCTGAAATTCTCTTGCCAAACACTCTAGAGTTGTAATTTCTTGAAGACCTATTGAAGCCATTAGCTCACAGGCTCGACTGACCTATAAAAAAATAAGATTTATCAATAAGCTGATGTATAACATAAGTTGTAACATACTAATGACAACACTAACTAATCAAGTATTATTACAGTAGGGCCTCAGTTTATGGCACTTCACTAATACAGCCATTTCAGATTACACTCAAAAGTTTGTTTATATGGCTTCTGATTCACTCTCATGGCCTGAGCGCCTGGCTGGGCATCTGCACATCATTTTCTCTCTCAATTTGTTTACATCCTCCACGAACTCTACTTCACTCTTGATTCTGTCTAGAAACTTTCCAAAGTTTCAAGAGTTTTAAAGTTATTATGCATTTAATATATACTCTTTTTGTGTTACAATGGCATCTAATGGTAGCTGTGATAAAAAGAGGAGTTGTAAGGCTCTTCTTACTCTAAGTGCAAAGTTAAAAATTATTAAACTCAGTGAGAAAGGTATGTCTATGGCTGAGACAGAACTGAGATAGTATTGATAACTGTACTTATGTGTACCTGTACCTAAATAAACTTACACACTGTGCTGGTGTGCAGATACAGTACATTAAAATCACTATTTGGCATTATTACAAAGTAGGAGGGGATATGCCAGGCCAGAGTTTGTGTCACCCATCTCTGATACTGTTTTAGTGTTACCTTTGCATCATTTATAACTTTTCTGATATATTTTTAAATGTTTATACAGCAGTGTACTGTATATTGTAATAAACAGAATAGAGGAAGTCAGCACTAATATATACATTATTTAGGTATGCATACTGGTCAGAGAGCCCGTCATAAGTCAGAGTCATCGGTAGACGAGCACATTACTGAGGAGAGGCTGTACAGTCATACCCCGCTTTATGTCATTTTGGCTTACATCAAATCTGCCTTTACACCACTTTTCTAGAGTAAATTTCAGTTCAGCAAACGTCATAATGTCTGACGTTACATCACTTAGCAACATCACCTACGTCATAATAAAAGGATGCGAAATAAATTTTTCCTTAAAAATATAATTAAAATAAATAAAACACAAAAATTAGCAATAAAAGATAAAGAAGCTTAAAAAAATTAAAATACAATAAAAACGCATTAAAAACAAAAATGTATACATACACAATAAAATGTTTACAGCGAAAAATTGCACACAAATGTCCGTGTGTGTGGTGGCACTGCTGCTGGTTCTCAATTAAACAAGGGCAATGCCACAGGCATTTTTGCCCATCCTGCAATCGTGTGTTTGTTTTGCCTTTCACTGTTATTTTTGTGATTATTCCTTTGCTGTCATTTTATATAGTCGGACTTGAGTCCTGGAAATGGGAAGTACGTACAATGCCTGCACTTTAAAGGAGGGGTTTTGGGATATTGGCAGTTTGGAGGGATATGTTGTGTATCTTTATACATATATACTTCTAAACTGTTGTATTCTGAGCACCTCTGCAAAAACAGTGATTATGTGTGAGTGAGGTGAAAGTGTTGAATGATGATGGAAGTATTTTCTTTTTGGGGATTTTCTTTCTTTTTGGGTCACCCTGCCTCGGTGGAAGATGGCCGACTTGTTAAAAGAAAAAAAAAAAAGTGTCAGTGTTAGCCATGGGTCCTAAGAAAGATAGTGCTAGTGATTCCAAGCGTAATGTGGTTATGATGGAAGATAAGTAAATATGATTTAAAAGGTATGAAAAGGTGAAAAAGTGTTGGTTTAAGGTAAATAACAATTTTATTAATTTTATTTATTATTCTTTACAAATTAAGAGTAAAATATTCTTTAAATTCTCTAATGCCTTAACGAGTTATATTATTTTGCGTGTTGTTTACACGAATTGTAAGGTGTTTTTCGTCATACTTGAGGCATTTTTAAGGGCAAATCACAAGGTAAATAACATAATTTTTTAACTGTGTTCATTATTCTTTAAAAAATATGACTAAAATGTGTTTTTAGTGTTCTTTAAGGTTTAACGATAGTTATATTCTTTCGTGGGTTATTTACGCTAGTTTTACGCTGTTTGCCATCATTTTAAGGCATTTTTAGGCATTATGTCCTGGTGACATCAAAACTGGGTTATGTCATGGCTCTTGGAGCCAATTAACCCTTTGAGGGTCGACAGGCCCTCTCCGAGACTCATTCTCAGGGTCGGCCAAATTAAAAAAAAAAAAAAAAAAATTCTTATGAAAAGATAGAGAATCTTTTCCCGATCATAATGACACCAAAAGTATGAAATTTGATGGAAAACGTACGGAATTATGCTCTCACGAAGTTAGCAGTCTCGGCAATGTTTACGCATCAGCGATTTTGCCCACTTTGAGCCCCATTTTCAGCCAATTCCACTGTACTAGTTGACAAAAAACATTAATATTTCGCTAGAACTCCATTTTTTTCTATCGAATGAGTGCAAGAAACCACCCATTTACTAATTTCAACTATCCAGTACAGTGGTCATAATTTAGCAATTTTGCCAATTTCACACAAATTTCAAAAGATGCCAATTTCCGAATAGGGTCCAGAATAAACAAGAAAGACATTCTTGGCACTAAAATGACATTTCCTCTGTTCATTAGTCACATCTCAAGTCCCCTCTTACATTCTTTTGCTTTCCACTTTGAATTTTTATTCTCACAATAAATAGAAGATTTACTGTTATGCAGACTACTGCATTAGTGTAAAAAATGGTATAAATAATATTGGCGCACTTGCAAAAGAATATTAGACTCACCAGTTGACGTGTATTGGACGCTTAGCATGATTTGTTTACTTTTGAACTTTGGTAAAAATCAAACATTTCTGCTACTTAGAGCTCAATTTCAAGGTACTTTTCATTGCAAAACCAGTCAAAATCATCTCAATTTCTGTAATATGTCTTCCATTCTATAAAATGAGACCAAGAAAACTAGAATACAACAATAAATACCATACGAAAATACAGTGCAAAGTCGCTGTTTTATTCCAAAAAAACGGTCAAAGTTTTTTTTTCGCATTATGCACTGTGTGCTGCAGGATTTTTTTTTATACTGTGCACACTGACCACATAGACCCATTCTTTCATATGTAGGCCTACCAGCTTTCTCCCACTAGATTTGAGGGCACTAGAATTTAGGTGTACTAGTACGTCAAAAATCCTGGATCGTAAGCCGTACTAGTACGGCCGAAACCCTCAAAGGGTTAATGACATAGGGCGGAGTATGATTGTATGTCAGTGGGGTAACACGTATCAAATTAAATATTTTTAGGTTAATGATGCTGTGCACAGTATATGACTTTTTATATTTGCTAAATTTCTTAAGTAAATAAGTCTACAGTCTGTCTATGTATCTGTAATGATAAAATCTTCTACAATGACAATTACATATCATCCCTTACTGACCTGCTCAATGCAAGGTGAGAAAGAACATATTCTGCCTCCTGAATCTTTGATTGCGGAGAGTGCATGAGGAAGAGCTTCCCAGGGTTTAGGTAGATCTAGAAACACAGCATTAGCTATGCCCTCTACTCCCAGTCCTTCAACATAGACATCACGATGGGACACATCAACGCGCTCTCCAAAACCATGCCGAGTGAATTCATCCAAAGCTACCTAAAATATATATCTATTATTGTATTAAGTACTGGGAAAGCACAATTTACAAAAAATTAAGCAACTAGGTTTTACATTAAATAGCAGTATTATAGTGATATTATAGGATATAGTGTTGGAGTGGTTGGTACTTTTGTTTAATAAATGTATAAAAGAGGGGAAGGTACCTAGGGATTAGCAGAGAGCATGTATAGTCCCTTTATATAAAGGGAAAGGGACAAAAGAGACTGTAAAAATTATAGAGGAATAAGTTTACTTTAAAGGAGGGGTTTGGGATATTGGCAGTGTGGAGGGATATGTTGTGTATCTTTATACGTATATGCTTCTAAACTGTTGTATTCTGAGCACCTCTGCAAAAACAGTGATAATGTGTGAGTGTGGTGAAAGTGTTGAATGATGATGAAAGTATTTTCTTTTTGGGGATTTTCTTTCTTTTTTGGGTCACCCTGCCTCGGTGGGAGACGGCCGACTTGTTGAAAAAAAAAAAAAAAAGTTTACTGAGTATACCAGGAAAAGTGTACGGTAGAGTTATAATTGAAAGAATTAGAGGTAAGACAGAATGTAGGATTGCGGATGAGCAAGGAGGTTTCAGAGTGGGTAGGGGATGTGTAGATCAAGTGTTTACATTGAAGCATATATGTGAACAGTATTTAGATAAAAGTAGGGAAGTTTTTATTGCATTTATGGATTTAGAAAAGGCATATGATAGAGTGGATAGAGGAGCAATGTGGCAGATGTTGCAAGTATATGGAATAGGTGGTAAGTTACTAAATGCTGTAAAGAGTTTTTATGAGGATAGTGAGGCTCAGGTTAGGGTGTGTAGAAGAGAGGGAGACTACTTCCCGGTAAAAGTAGGTCTTAGACAGGGATGTGTAATGTCACCATGGTTGTTTAATATATTTATAGATGGGGTTGTAAAGGAAGTAAATGCTAGGGCATTCGGGAGAGGGGTGGGATTAAATTTTGGGGAATCAAATTCAAAATGGGAATTGACACAGTTACTTTTTGCTGATGATACTGTGCTTATGGGAGATTCTAAAGAAAAATTGCAAAGGTTAGTGGATGAGTTTGGGAATGTGTGTAAAGGTAGAAAGTTGAAAGTGAACATAGAAAAAGAGTAAGGTGATGAGGGTATCAAATGATTTAGATAAAGAAAAATTGGATATCAAATTGGGGAGGAGGAGTATGGAAGAAGTGAATGTTTTCAGATACTTGGGAGTTGACGTGTCGGCGGATGGATTTATGAAGGATGAGGTTAATCATAGAATTTTATTTTATTTTATTATCACACTGGCCAATTCCCACCAAGGCAGGGTGGCCCGAAAAAGAAAAACTTTCACCATCATTCACTCCATCACTGTCTTGCCAGAAGGGTGCTTTACACTACAGTTTTTAAACTGCAACATTAACACCCCTCCTTCAGAATGCAGGCACTGTACTTCCCATCTCCAGGACTCAAGTCCGGCCTGCCGGTTTCCCTGAACCCCTTCAGAAATGTTACTTTGCTCACACTCCAACAGCACGTCAAGTATTAAAAACCATTTGTCTCCATTCACTCCTATCAAACACGCTCACGCATGCCTGCTGGAAGTCCAAGCCCCTCGCACACAAAACCTCCTTTACCCCCTCCCTCCAACCTTTCCTAGGCCGACCCCTACCCCGCCTTCCTTCCACTACAGACTGATACACTCTTGAAGTCACTCTGTTTTGCTCCATTCTCTCTACATGTCCGAACCACCTCAACAACCCTTCCTCAGCCCTCTGGACAACAGTTTTGGTAATCCCGCACCTCCTCCTAACTTCCAAACTACGAATTCTCTGCATTATATTCACACCACACATTGCCCTCAGACATGACATCTCCACTGCCTCCAGCCTTCTCCTCGCTGCAACATTCATCACCCATGCTTCACACCCATATAAGAGCGTTGGTAAAACTATACTCTCATACATTCCCCTCTTTGCCTCCAAGGACAAAGTTCTTTGTCTCCACAGACTCCTAAGTGCACCACTCACCCTTTTCCCCTCATCAATTCTATGATTCACCTCATCTTTCATAGACCCACCTGCTGACACGTCCACTCCCAAATATCTGAATACATTCACCTCCTCCATACTCTCTCCCTCCAATCTGATATCCAATCTTTCATCACCTTATCTTTTTGTTATCCTCATAACCTTGCTCTTTCCTGTATTCACTTTTAATTTTCTTCTTTTGCACACCCTACCAAATTCATCCACCAATCTCTGCAACTTCTCTTCAGAATCTCCCAAGAGCACAGTGTCATCAGCAAAGAGCAACTGTGACAACTCCCACTTTATGTGTGATTCTTTATCTTTTAACTCCACGCCTCCTGCCAAGACCCTCGCATTTACTTCTCTTACAACCCCATCTATAAATATATTAAACAACCACGGTGACATCACACATCCCTGTCTAAGGCCTACTTTTACTGGGAAATAATTTCCCTTTTCCTACATACTCTAACTTGAGCCTCACTATCCTCGTAAAAACTCTTCACTGCTTTCAGTAACCTACCTCCTACACCATACACCTGCAACATCTGCCACATTGCCCCCCTATCCACCCTGTCATATGCCTTTTCCAAATTCATAAATGCCACAAAGACCTCTTTAGCCTTATCTAAATACTGTTCACTTATGTTTCACTGTAAATGCCTGGTCCACACACCCCCTACCTTTCCTAAAGCCTCCTTGTTCATCTGCTATCCTATTCTCCGTCTTACTCTTAATTCTTTCAATAATAACTCTACCATACACTTTACCAGGTATACTCAACAGACTTATCCCCCTATAATTTTTGCACTCTCTTTTGTCCCCTTTGCCTTTATACAAAGGAACTATGCATGCTCTCTGCCAATCCCTAGGTACCTTACCCTCTTCCATACATTTATTAAATAATTGCACCAACCACTCCAAAACTATATCCCCACCTGCTTTTAACATTTCTATCTTTATCCCATCAATCCCGGCTGCCTTACCCCCTTTCATTTTACCTACTGCCTCACGAACTTCCCCCACACTCACAACTGGCTCTTCCTCACTCCTACAAGATGTTATTTCTCCTTGCCCTATACATGATATCACAGCTTCCCTATGTTCATCAACATTTAACAAATGCTAGAATTGATGAGGGAAAAAAGGTGAGTGGTGCGTTGAGGTATATGTGGAGTCAAAAAACGTTATCTATGGAGGCAAAGAAAGGAATGTATGAAAGTATAGTAGTACCAACACTCTTATATGGGTGTGAAGCTTGGGTGGTAAATGCAGCAGCGAGGAGACGGTTGGAGGCAGTGGAGATGTCCTGGTTAAGGGCAATGTGTGGTGTAAATATTACGCAGAAAATTCGGAGTGTGGAAATTAGGAGAAGGTGTGGAGTTAATAAAAGTATTAGTCAGAGGGCAGAAGAGGGGTTGTTGAGGTGGTTTGGTCATTTAGAGAGAATGGATCAAAGTAGAATGACATGGAAAGCATATAAATCTATAGGGGAAGGAAGGCGAGGTAGGGGTCGTCCTCGAAAGGGTTGGAGAGAGGGGGTAAAGGAGGTTTTGTGGGCAAGGGGCTTGGACTTCCAGCAAGCGTGCGTGAGCGTGTTAGATAGGAGTGAATAGAGACGAATGGTACTTGGGACCTGACGATCTGTTGGAGTGTGAGCAGGGTAATATTTAGTGAAGGGATTCAGGGAAACCGGTTATTTTCATATAGTCGGACTTGAGTCCTGGAAATGGGAAGTACAATGCCTGCACTTTAAAGGAGGGGTTTGGGATATTGGCAGTTTGGAGGGATATGTTGTGCATCTTTATATGTGTATGCTTCTAGACTGTTGTATTCTGAGCACCTCTGCAAAAACAGTGATAATGTGCGAGTGTGGTGAAAGTGTTGAATGATGATGAAAGTATTTTCTTTTTGGGGATTTTCTTTCTTTTTTGGGTCACCCTGCCTCGGTGGGAGACGGCCGACTTGTTGAGAAAAAAAAAAAAAAAAAAAAACTAATATGTAAGATACAATATTTAAAAAACACACTCTAATGTAGAAAAACCAGGCACGAGATGGAAGCAACACGTATTCTGGGGGACGTTGTACCCTGTCAAGAGTACAGAGTTCTCTTTGTATTTAAAATAATGTGTTAAATTACCCTATACTGTATTATTACTTTTGTGTAGTATACAATGTCAAAATACAGTTTATATTTATGCATCAGCTTACTTAAACCCACAGCTTAATAAAGATAACATGTGCCAAGAAGCCTTCATCAACATTTTAAATTTTTGCAGATTTTGTTAAACATTTCAAATTCCAAGAACAAAGAAATAAATATACCTGAGCTCTTTCTTTGTGAAAGTCACATGTATAAAGCTTGCCTGTAGGTCCAATGGTACGAAGTAAAGCATGAGATACTGATCCACTTCCTGTGCCAGCTTCACAAACAACTGACCCAGGACCAATCTCTAACTGCATTACTACCTGCAAAATAATAAAACATCCGTTGCAGGTTATTGTAAAAAATAATCAAAGAGTTTCATATATACTCCAGCATTTCTAAAACATTGCTGGAACCTGGCAAAAAAGGCAAAAATCATTTCTTATTTATAAATACATTTTTCTTATTTAACCCTTAAACTGTCCAAACGTAGATCTACGTTTTTTCAACATTTGAAAGTATGTAAAAAAAGTAGATCTTCTTTTTTCTTTTTACATTTGAAAACGTGTAAAAAAACTTTGATCTACATTTTTTTTTTTGTTATACAGTGGACCCCCGCCTTACGATCAGCTCCCAACTCGACCAATTATGTAAGTGTATTTTTGTAAGTGCTTTTGTACGTGTATTTTTGGGGGTCTGAAACGGACTAATCTAATTCACAATATTCCTTATGGGAACAAATTCGGTCTATAATGGCACCCGAACAGACCTCTGGAATGAAATAATATCATAAGGCGGGGGTTCACTGTACGTATTTGAAAATATGTAAAAGAAATGTAGATCTACTTTTCGAGCACTACGCATGTGAACACAGATCTGCTTGGACAGTTTAAGGGTTAAAAACTCGTAACAAAAAATTGGGGCGGTTTTTTGGGGCTGGAACGGATTAATGGCATTTCAATTAATTTAAGCGAGGAAAATTGATTTGATATACGAGCAAACTGAGTTACGAGCTCGGTCATGGAATGAATTAAACTCCTAAGTCAAGGTACCACTGTGTATGTAAATAGAATTCAGATCAATCTGAGGCTGGACTTTTCCCTCAGTATTGTCAATATATGTTGACATCAGATATGGGCTGAGACATCAAGGGTACCCCTGGTTGACCCTCCCTCCCCCTTGATTACATTTGTAGACTACAGCTTCTCTGCTTTGAAAAAATTTTAAATTTACTCCCTAAATCCTCAAGAATGACTTGGTAAAATAATCACTGCCAAGGCTTTAGAGAAAGCCCGAATTTTACAGCAAAGGTATTAATCCTCTTGCTTAAAATTCAAGCTAAACTCACATGAATTATGCTTAAAATTGCAAATTAGACAATGTTTTTTGTTTCTACTTCCTATTTTATTTGCTAAATAAACCAATAAAAACAAATACATATTTATAAGCTTTAAGTGAAACCTTAATAGTGTCATATACTTACCCTTGCATTTGTCAACACATGCCACTGCTTACCATTGATATGTCAGGTGTATAAAGGATCTGCGTACGATGTGGCAGTGTCACAGTCCAAAGCTCAGGAGTTGGGTACAGTACACGAGCCCACCCTTTAGACAAGTTCACCTTTGATCCAAACTTCTCACCAATTAAATCCATTACTTTCAAGGATCCATATCGTGTTTGAAAAACATTGTCAACTGGTTGCCCAGCCTTGTTAATTAACTTAGGTTTCACCTGAAACAAAAATATGCTTTATGCATCATAACAATAACAACAGTATAGCGAATACCACTACTCAATACATCATATATAATACTTCTTGTATGTGACAGTATCGTGTATGGAATATTAACTTACATATTTTTAGCAATAATAGTAAAATAAGGAAACAAATAAAGTAATAATGGAAGATAAGGCTGTGAAGAGAATGGAGGTGTAAGATGGTAGAAGAACTAATATTAATATAAAGAAGAGCAATGGAATGAATGATGATGGAATGAATGATGATGAAAGTGTTTCTTTTTCAGGTCACCTACCAGCCTACCTCAGTGAGAGACGGCTGGTATGTTAAAAATATTATCACATTTCAAGCAAGTGCTACAGGCTTATTGAAACTTTACACTTTCTTTATCAATGCAGGAATATCACTCACTAGCTAAAAGCAATGCAACCCTTCATAAGAAAAATAAAATATGTCATTCATTACATATGACAGTACAACACTGTAGAGTATAGTTTTAGGATGGTTATGATGGATCTTATCTTTTCTTACCTCAAGAGCATAAATTTGTGACACACCAATATAAAGAATAACAGTGTCCCCTTCTTCTATCAACTCTTTGCACTTGCTGAAACTCATGATTGTGACAGAAGTCCAGCCCTAAAAAGTATACATATAGGGCATTAATTATTGATACACTACATGCTAGGTACTAATACGTACACCCCTCACTATGCAAACATTCAAGTTTACTTACCATATAAAACATTCATACTTAATACTGTGTACTACAGGAAGACCCCACTTATACAGGTTAGGTTCCAGGCTACTGCTGTATAGTGAAAATTGCTGTAAAGTGAAACATAGCCCTTTTTTTCACTTTCAAATGTACGTATATAAAAGCCTGATAACATTTTTACACTATCATTTATTAAGTGAGGAACAGAGCTAGGCCTTAAAAATGCATACACTGCACATATTACTTATTTTAAAATAATTTTGTCCTCAGCTTACAGCAGTGAATATATTTATTGTAGGAAGTCTGAATAAATGGAAGGGTATAATTGAAAAACTGCTGTATTAGTGAAGCACTGGAAAGCAGGGCAGCCCTCCTGTATATAAAAAGGACACTCAATGCAAAAAACAAAATATCCCTTTCAACTTGATTTGAAACGACATGCAAACAAAATGTCCAAAAAATATAAAACTCTTCTCCAGATCCTGTGTCTGCCGGCTATTTCAAAATATTTTTTTTTTAAATTTGGATTTGAAGAGTCTATGCGAAGATTGATTGATTGATTGATTATGTTGGTTTGCTGGTACAATGTGAAGATCAAATATACTGCAAATGTGAAATATATCCAATGCAACCAGCTTATCCAGATTCCAATCATCATTCAAACTAATGTACTTATTGTTACCACAATATATCTACCCCCAATAATTATAACTAAACTTCTCAATGTAGTTTTATATTACTAACTGTTCTTACATATTACACAGTTTTACTAGATATAACTGAAGGATGCTCCTAGAAAGAAATTGGACATCAATTTGTTATTCTGGGCAATATTAGCAAAAATAATATTTATTTAGGTGTCCCATAGCTCGATCACAGATGCACTCAGCTCACATACTGAGGTCCGGGGTTCGAATCTCCTCCAGTATGGCTGGAAAACATTAGGGATGTGTTTCCATAAGACATCTGCTGTCCCTGTCCCTGTTTACCCATCAGTTTAAAATGGGTACCTGGGAGTTAGTTGACTGGTGTAAGTCGCATCCTGGGACAAAACTGACCTAATTTGCCCAAAATACTCAGTATGTCATTGATGTCAGCTAAGGTCTGCATACCTAGTACATGTACTTGTAATAAATAAAGATAATAATAATAATAATAATAATAATAATAATAATATTATTATTATTATTATTATTATTATGAGTGACACATCAGGACCAATCAACACTTAGCACTGTGGCTTGGCCAATCACAACGAACGTACACAAAGACCAATTGTGAAGTAAGGTTAAGTAAGATTATTTTAGGTTGCATGAGGTGCATTTAGCCAGGTTTGATTACCTTTAGTAAGTAAGTAAGTTTATTAAGGTTTACACAAATACAGTTACATATATTATAATACATAGCAGAAAATGTGTAAAGAACCTAGGATAACCCAAAAAAGTCAGAAAAGTCATACAATTACAATACAATGCTATCTTAAATACAAAGCCTACTATATTTTATCAAACAAAATCCGCTAGAGCATCACTTATTTATTAGTTTTTATTTAAGTAAAACTGTTACACTTAATACTCTCATCTTCACACAATTATTATTATTATTAAGCACTAAACCTACATGGGTCTTATCTTCACAAAACTATATTACAGTTAATATTTAAATAATCTAGCTATATAAAGTTAAGTAGTTTGAAAATTCTAGTTTTTTACCTGCCAGAAATGATCTATCAAACTTTGAGACTTTTCAAATTATTTTTATTTATTTCCAATTTTATTTATTTCCAATTTGTGCACACATACAGAGGTACAAAAAAAAATACAGATAAGAGCAGTATGCCAAAGCCACTTATACTATGCATAGCATTACGGGCTGGCTTAAAATTAACTTAAGATTAACTAAGCAATGATTATTATTATTATTATTATAATCAAAAAGAAGCGCTAAGCCACAAGGACTATACAGCGCTGCTACTAAGCAATGATGAAATCAGTGATAAAACATTAATGTAAACAGATAACTAAAAGCACAAGTGAGATATTACAAAGATCAGGTCAATATGGTTGCATTCAGTTAGGTAGTTTTGATTCCTGTAGGTACTGTATTTAAAAAATAATAAGTTATTGGCTTTTAGGTTTAACATTTATGTGATATAATTGTGAGAAACATTTAAGATATAACAATTTATAATGGTTCAGTTATTCATTATTTATTTGGGTTTTGGGTGAGTAAAGTAATCTTTGAGAAGAGACCTGAATTTATAAACAGGTTGTGTTTCCTTTTTTATATTTACAGTAAATGAAATTCCAGATTTTTAGGGCCTTTTATTGCATTGAGTTTTTGCATCGTGTGAGATGGACACGAGGAACATCAAAGAGTGATCGTCCTGTGTTATGGTCCATGTGTTCTGTTGAGGTTGGCAAGGAGATGTTTGAGGGGAGGGTTAATATCAGAGTTTAAGTGGTCTATGATGTAAATAGGTCAGTAAAAGTATGGATGTTTTGTATGGTGAGTAGGTTTAGGGTAGTGAATATTGTGGAGTGTGCTGCCTGTATGAACTTGTTATACATTTCTAACTGCAGCCTTTTGTTGGGTAATTAGTGGTCTGAGATGGTTAATTTTTGTTTGACCCATGCCACAAATTCCATAGGTGAGATAGGGTTAATAAGAGAGTGATATAGGGCACAGGAGGCTGACTGTGGAACATAGTACCGTAACTTCGATAGTATGCCTACGTCTTGGAAATTTTCTTAGAAATTTGATGTAAAGTGTATGAAAATTTGAGTCTATTATCAGGTGGATCCTAAGAATTTCCCTCTGTAGTTTTGTGATAGGTGATCCATTTATCATTATGTTAAGAGGGACATCTGTTAGCACTGTTACCAAACTGAATGAAGTAGGTATTTGTCAATGTTTAGTGTAATTGTTAGTCCCATCCAGGGTAGATATTTTTCTGTCATTCGGTATTTAACAGTATTGGCTAGCGTGAACCTGGGCTCGGGTGAGAGAAAGACGTATGTAGGTCATCTGCAAATAGTGTGGGTTTGAGTAATTGCGAAGCATTTTGGAAGGTCATTTATGTATAGGAGAAAGAGAAGAGGGGCCAAGGACACTTCCCTGTGGGGACACCAACTGTAATTGGTATGTGGCAGAAGAGTTTGCCCCATTTGCGTACACATATTGGCTTCTGTTGCTGAGAGTAAGACTTGAGGTAGTTGAGGAAGTGCCCTCTTCTACCATAGTGTGGAAACAAAATTTTACGTGGAAGCAAGTCATGGTCAACTGTATCAAAAGCATTACGTAAGTCTATGAAGATCCCAGTGGGACTTCTTTTTTCTCTATTGCAGTGTAAATAGTTCTAGCTTGTGTATAATACATCATTAGTATTTTATTAGGCCTGAATCCAAATTGGCAGGGGTTGAGTATGTTTTTGGAGATGAGTAGGAGTAGATTCGATTATGAATTAATTTTCGAAGATTTTTGAGAGAGGGTGTAAGGTTGGGATTTATGCCAAAGTTATTCCAACTCTGTTTGGTCCTCCTCCTTTGTGGATCGGGTGACCCTTGCTTATTTTGAGTACTGTAGGGAATGGTGGAGTGGATTCAATGGATTTGTTTAACGGTGTTGCAATGATTGGTGATAGCACTTTTGTGACACTTTTTGTATATAAGGGGTGGTAAGGTATTTAAATCTCCTGCCTTGTTTTTTTTAGTGCGTTGATAATTAGGGAGACTTCGATGGGTTAGTCGGAGCTCAGGAACAGTGTGTTTCGGGTAGTTTTTGCCGTGAGGTAGTCATTTGGTGGGGTAACTGAGCTGGCATTGTTATTGGCAAGGTTTGTCCTATAGTGGAGAAGAATCAATGATCTGGTTTGCTGTTTCTGTGGTGGAGTTGGTTCATCTGTTTTGGCTAATTTTAGTTCGCTATTTCGTGATATCTTTTTTTGTTCCCAGAATTTCATGATAGGGTTTTCCAGGTCTTTTTTTATATCACCTCGTAAGTTGATAATCTGTTCTCATAATACAATTTTTTTTGCCCTTCTTATCAGGCTGGTTTAGGACTGACGAGTAACGTTTTGTTTGTTCCTGGTTTAATGTGACCCAATTTCTGTCCTGTTTTTCCATATGGTGTTTTGTAATTTATGGATTTGAGAATGCTTGGTGTTAGCCAGGGACTGTTTCATCTCTTTGCTGGTCATCTGTTTAGTTTTTTTTAGGCATGCTTGATTATAGAGGTATTGGTTTTTTTTAGAAAATTATTAATACATTCGTCAATATCTGTAATAGGTTTCTAGCTCAGGTGCCAATCAATGTTTGCTATTGCTGTTGTGAAGTTATTAATGGCTGCCTCATTTGTGAAGTTGAAGGTGACTTAAGTAGTGTCCTTGGGTAGTTTTACCAAGAGTTGGTATGAGGAAAGAAGTGTGGAGTGGTCTGTGTTTAATCTGTAATTATGCCTGATTTTAAAGGGGAAATGTGTTTTTTTATTTTTTTTTTGGTCCAAGATGTGGTCAAGTAGGGAAACACTAGTCTCGTAACACTTGAAGGTTTTTGTACTGTTGGTTAGTAACATACAGTTACTCATTGTGTTTGTGAATACAGTAACGTGTGGGTCTGGTCTGCAAGGAGATTTATAATTGAAGTCACTGAGAGTAGTAAGTGATCCTTTTGTTCATGCGTTCAATCAGTTTATCATACTTACTAGGTTTAGACTAATTGGCTAATGTTTGACTGTGGAACCTGTAATGTTTATCAATGTGAGAGGTTTTTGTAGGTACTTTGATTTGAATTTAGCTATTATATATTCCCCATGTTCATCCCTTGTGCAAGTATGTGAATACATTTCTAGTTGGTCTGAGTATATATGGCTGTCCACCTACTTGTTGATCTGGTCCCTACAGTTTGTAAATGGCTGTGTAACCAGGAATGGCATATGACATCTGTACTATCAGGCTTTAGCCAGGTTTCAGTTAGTGTAATGATGGACATATTGGCATGTAAGGAATTTAGTAATGCTATGAGGTCATCGTAATGCTTGCTTAAAAGTCAGATATTTTGTAACAATATAGTATTTAAATCAAATCAAATTTTACTTCTTTGCAAGATTACATCGAGATTATGAAATTACAATAATGAGTTATAATACAAAGAGCCACTATCATGCCTAGGTATTATGGCCAGACTTAATTTAATGACTTACTGACTACTTAATACTACAGAAATTGATCATTGTTTAAGTTCTGAACATAAAATTTATTTCTTCGAAAATAAGTTTTATGCTTAGACGACACCAAGTACACACACGCGGGGCCAGGAGCTGAGTCTCGACCCCTGCAACCACAATTAGGTGAGTACACCATCACACTACACCAACATTAATAATAATAATACTAGTAATAAATTATTATAAGATATAATTATATTATTATTATCATTATTGAAATCTACGACCATGAGTTGTTTGACCTTAGTGTTGTAGGAGTCTCGTTCACAGTGTGTGTAGTTTACTTAGAAGTTTCTTCTGGTGTAAACTGCTGCTTGAAGTGTTGTGTGGCGTCTTCTTCTTCTTGGGTTTATAAGGGCCACTACCAGCTTACACTTTGTCAAGTTCTGCTTAATAATAATAATTATAATCTTTATTTTTACATGTACAAGGTATACAGACCATAGCTGACATCAGTGTCATGCTACTATATAGAAAGTCCTTTGTTATGCTGATTATTTCCCGCAAATTAGGCCAGTTTTGTCCCAGGATGCGACCCACACCAGTTGACTAACACCCAGGTACCTATTTTACTGATGGGTGAATATAGATAGCAGGTGTCTTATGGAAAGATGTCCTAATGTTTTCCAGCTGTACCGAGGGATCGATCCCCGGACCTCAGTGTGCGCTCTGTGTTAGCGTATTTGCTTGGCCCTCCTGGTGACAAAAGCGAGATCTTTTAGGGAATAAGGATTTTATTTCTCTACATAGTTTACAATGTGTAATTATAATTTTGATTTGCTAAGTACAAAAAAAGCCACTATCATGCAGGGACATTTCGGGCACCAGGCCACGGGCCACCAAATATGGGTTGAATTTATAAAGGAAACAAGGTGTCCTCCTGAAAGAGCAACGGGTACAATAAGTTACCATTCACAGGCCCGGTGACCCGGTGGCTAAAGCTCCCGCTTCACACACGGAGGGCCCGGGTTCGATTCCCGGCGGGTGGAAACATTTCGAAAACGTTTCTTACACCTGTTGTCTTGTTTAAAAAAAAAAAACACCTAGCAGTAAATAGGTTACCTGGTGTAGTCGACTGGTGTGGGTCGCATCCTGGGGGACAAGATTAAGGACCCCAATGGAAATAAGTTAGACAGTCCTCGATGACGCTGACTTTCTTGGGTTATCCTGGGTGGCTAACCCTCCGGGGTTAAAAATCCGAACGAAATCTTATCTCTTATCACGTCAGGAAGACACCTGTCGGGGGGGGGGGGGGGGGGGGGGGGGGGGGGGGGGGGTTACCTAAACAAGGTAGAGCCTGACACATCACCCCTCCCCCCAACATTACTTGGCCTGGTGGCTAAAGCTCTCGCTTCATACGGCGAGTCCGGGTTCGATTCCCGGCGACGATTCCCGGTTGTCTATGTTCCCCATCAGTAAAATGGGTACCTGAGTGTAATTCGACTGGTGTGGGTCACATCCTGAGACAACACTGACCTAATTTATCCGAAATGCTCAGCATAACAAAGGGCTTTCTATATAGTAGTACGTCATTGATGTCAGCTATGGTCTGTATTTATTTATTTATCTTGCAAATGTAGCTGTAGAAATAAAGATTTATTATTATTATTATTATTATTATTATTATTATTATTATTATTATTATTATTATTATTATTATTATTATTATTATTATTGTTATTATTATTATTATTATTATTATTATTATTATTATTATTATTATTATTATATAAGTCAAGGAGGAGCTGAACTATTGCCCCCCAACCAATTGCCCAGCAACGGCCATTATATGATGAGAACAAATGCCCAGAAGAAACCGGAAAATCTGATGCTCAAGATAAAAAGTAGAGCGACATGTCTGCCCTCGGTCAATGTCGGAGTCCAGATGCTGTGTATACTACGGGTTTTGAAATTACTGTTTGTTTCTTAATTTGAAATAGAATCATTATCATTAAGGCGTCCTTACACGAGCTGCATTAAAAGCAGCTGTTGTTATTGTTGATTTTAAAGGTCGTGAGATAGAAAAACCTCGTAAATCCTCCGCAGGAACTCCGGAGTCGGATACTTTCCTCAGTTGTCATCTAAACTGCTAATTTTTTGTGCACCCGCAGCTCATCCTGTGAGCAGTAGCGCAAAATAACAGTATTACAGAATGTATTAACGTTGGTAGAATTTCCGACAAAAAAGGAAACACCTTCATAATAAATTTGTTGAGTTAAGCATAAGAATTAACAACTGGGCGCCTACACTGCAAACTGAATTGTTTGCAATCCTAATGGCGCTAAAGCTAACCTATGACACTGAGCTTGACTCTATCATCATTACTGATTCTATGTCATCATTGAAGGCTCTTGACTCATATAATGACTCCAACAACATGCTCATTGGAGAAGCCAGGTATAGATACTCAAAAATTAGGGACAAAGGAATTAATGTACAATTGCTATGGATCCCATCACACATTGGATTACTCCTTCATGATAAAGTTGATATGTTAGCCAAGAAGAGTACCCAGAAGGAGAATGTAGAATATAACTTTGGTATAACTGTGTCTAGCATTAGGAATAATATTAGGAGAGAAGTAAATAATGAAAATGATTGTTATAGGAATGCAGTTAGAAGCCTGAGTTGATCTATAACCCACTATGATAACATGAACGTAGATAAGTATGTTTATGGAGCAACTTGCAATGTGAACAGACTGACTGATGTTGTAGTGGCCAGGCTTAGGCTTGGTTACAAGTACTTCTGGCAGTTTGGGAGACACACAGATGATGATCAAACTAAATGTAAATTATGTGATCAGGCATATGGTCACTCTCTTGAACACTATGTGCTTAATTGTCCACTTATTGAGGAATACAGAGACAGACAGTATAATAACCTATGTGACATGTCAAGATATCTTATTAATGAAAATAAGATACCAGATATACTAAGCAAATTTCCTAAATTTGCTTGCAACAGATAAGTGAACTATAGATATGTAGATATAAATCCATATGTATTCCTGTTAACCCTTTGGGGCCTAGTTCCTAGGCCTTTTGTGTATCCATATGCTCTTGCGCTACCGTCCACAGGATGGATATGGGGTGCACAATAAACTAGCCACTTCGGTGGCAAAATCTAATCTTCATCATTCACTCAATCACTGTCTTGCTAGAGACGCGCTGTGTGGGTTTGTGTGTGTGCATGTATAAACGTAAGTAACCATTCTTACAGGATTCATTACCTTTGTAACTTGTGAGTTCATTACCTTTGTACCTAGTTCAGCTATCAAAACTTTGGGGGCCCAGTCCCTGGACCCATTACGTACCTCTGTAATCTGTAAATACCTTTGTAACTTGTCATGATTGTGACCAGACCTACCTGGAGTTCATTACCTTTGTATATTGTGAGTTCATTACCTTTGTAAATTGTGAGTTCATTACCTTTGTAATTTTGAGTTTATTCCCTCTGAAATTGCTCATATCAAAATTTTGGGGGTCCGCCCCTGGACCAATTATGTCCTCGTAATCTTTTCACTCCCCTCCCCGATGGGTATGTGGGGGATGATTAACAAATTAAAGTAAACAGAGAGCGCCAAACTACAGTTTTAAATCATAATGCTGTACAATGCTGTGACATAAATTTGCAATGCGTACATGATTGGGACGTGAATATATGTACACAGGGCTGCACATCAAATGAGCTTATGAAAAAATAATAAAAAATATACATTAACCCCCCGGGGTTAAAATTTGAAAATTTTTATCTTCATTCTATGGGACATCTGCCTCTTGACCCCTTTTCTCATTTTTATATGCATTAGTTTCCCTGCATACTTTTATGAAATGTAAAAAAAGCATCTTAATTAAAATGGTTTTCTCCACGTGGTGAGTGACGTGAGAGAGAAGTAAATAATGAAAATGACTGTTATAGGAATGCAGTTAGAACCTGAGTAGATCTATAACCCATATGATAAATGAACGAGATAAGTATGTTTATGGGAACTTGAAATGGAACAACTGATGATGTAGGGGCCAGACTTAGGTTTGGGTTAAAAAGAAATTTGGGCAGTTTGGGAGACACACAGATGATGAAAAAACAAATGAAAATTATGGATCGGTTATGGTCACTCTCTTAAATTTTTTATGTGCTTAATTGTCCCTTATTGAGGAATCAGAGACAGACATATAATAACCTATGTGACATGTCAAGTTTTCTTTTTAAATGAAAATAAAATACCAATATACTAAGAAAATTTCCTAAATTTTTTGTAACAGATAAGTAAACTAAGATAGTAATATAAACCAATGTATTCTGTTATTTTTGGGGGCCTATTCTGGGCCTTTTTGGGGTTCCATATGCTCTTGCGCTACGTCCACGGTGGTATGGGGTGCACAATAAACTAGCACTTGGTGGAAAATTAAAATACGGAGTGTTCCCATAGCAAAGAGACCCCAGGGACGCGTCCCCTAGATGGGAGGGACGACTTCTCCCCCCTCAGCACCCAACGGCAGCTCACCCCCCGTTTATATTCCGTTTTTGAGGTGTCCAGGTAAGCTCCCCCACACGAATATTTTTGAAAATTGCCAGGAGGTTACAGGTAAGTCAACTGTAATATTTACAAAAATTTTACATGAGAATAGGTGGGTTTTTGTGTTTATTTTCCCCTCGTCATTAAAAATGATTTAATTGCGTTTTCGTGACAAAAGGAAAAATGGGTGGGTCAGGGGGAATTTTAGAAAGGGAAACTAAAAATTTAAGTATAGAGGCAAAAATATAGATTTTATGGGTACAAAAGAGATGTATCGCTCTATACCTCGGGCGCGTAGAAATTTTTATGAGAGTAATAAAAATTTCGTCAAACCCCGCTCGTTATCTAGCCCAATCTAGTGGGAGAAGAACCTGCCCATGCAGTTACTACGCTTTCGTTTAAAATATTAATTTTTTTAACCTGGATTGCTGGGTTATGATTGAATCTATGGCATCGTGTCCGAATTTGGAATTCGAAAAAAAAAATATTGTGACTGATGCAAATGGTTGGACCAAGAGTTTACGCAAAAAGAGTTAGTGACCCAAGTAGTGACGCAAAAGGGTTTGTAAAACCCCAATAGTGACGCAAATGGGTTTGTAACCCAAGTAGTGACCAAAAGGGTTTTGTAATCCAAGGCAATGAGTCTGCTTATTTCCATTGGTATTCCTCCCCTTCTCCCCACGTAAGATTCAAACCCGACAATCCCCTGTAACCTTTTTGCTTTGGGGGAAAAAGGGGGAAGGGGTTATAAAGGAAACCCGACCTTTCCCAAAGTCTCACCCTTGCCCAGGATTTTATCCTGGGGCCTTTTGGTTTTGCATGATCGCGCTGCCCCCGAAGCGGGGGGCCCCTTATTTTTGTTGTGTTGCGTGTTTTATT